ATAACCTCTTTTATTAATCTCTTCTCATATATTCGAAGTTAAAGATAGAACATCCCCATATTTTTCTAAATCGGCAATCAATAGTTTTTTTGAATGAAGAAAATATTCTATTGTATGAGAATAAAGAGTATTTCGACTTACCCAGACGTACCTCGGTTGAAAATATTCTTTCGCGTAGGAGGCGAAATGTTGGTTGTCCACTATTGCTAAAGGCAACTCAGCAGCGACAACGAACTTCACCATTTCCGTTCGAGCTTTCTCTATCAAATACATCCACGTAAAATTGGCGTAATAGTAGAACCGGTACCTGGACTACCAAATTGTAGTTGTGTTTGACCAGCGGGAAGAAGCCCATGTTTGGCCGCGTATGCATTGTAGTGACGTTTGAGGTGGGGCGGTTCCAATGCTTTTTTACCATGTCAGTCATTGTTGACAATATTTACATACTACTTTAGATTCGGAACTCCATCGACCATACGACCAGTTTGAATCAATTTAAAATGATCCCAACATTCTGCTTGATTTTTTCCCTTTCTCTTCTCTCTTAAATCGGAAATATCTAATTCTGGAACTTCATCCTTCCGTTCCGCATGAAAACGTCAACGTCATCCAAATCAATTGGATTACTACTTCCATGAGCATCGAAATTCGAAATATTTTAGGGAATAGGTACTTCATTAGATCAACGAATTCATTTTGAAATTGACTTTGCGGCATGATAGGTGATTCGCCTCCGATACCGAACAAGCCTTCGACAAATGAGCGTGGATCCATTTGTGAATTGATATAAAATGTATAGTAAGTAATCAGTCAAGAATTGAAAGAAAGTTGACGTGTAAGATTGTAATTGAAAATTTGTGGTGGGATAACTGATATTGAATAATTGAAATTGAATGTTGGAATAGAATTGAGAAATGAACGTAGACTATGTAGTAATGTAGAAAATATATTGTAAAATCATGATTATAACTCAATAATGTAAAACGTAGAAGAGAATCAAGAGATTAGAGAATAGAGAATGAGAGTTGGGTGGAAAAAAATGGATTAAATGAAGGGTATTTATAGGGGAAAAATTGAATTGAAAAAAAAAAAATTAATTCAGTGACCAGAACGGTCACTGAGTAATTGGCTCGTGGCTCGCCTTTTAACGAGCCCAGGAGCGCTCGTGTATAAAACGAGCCAGCCTGCTCAGCTCGGGTTCGGGCTCGTCTTTT